TAACATAAAAGCGACCCCGCCCGCGCTGTTTACTCCACTTTGAAATGTTTACATGGCTAATTACGACCCTGACTGCCAGAGTTACCCTACTTAGCACACTGGGAATCCGCCTTGGTGGGTAACCCCACCTATCAAGTAAAGATAAAAAAATTAATATGGGATTACATGGAAAGGCCGATTACTTCGCCCATGACGGTTACCTCACCGACCTGAATGCGCCCACCTCCATATAAACAGGCCCTTACTGTTCCTCTTCATTGTATCATGTGTATCAACTTTCTCATCTATGCCAACAGATATTAATAAATAAATAAATGTGCCAGTGGTGTACATAATTGCCACGTTTCAGCCTCATGGACCAACACTCTTGGATCCTTTGGCTGCTCACGTAACCTTCCGCACGAATTCGAAGGGGATGGAAGATCCAGTAATCTCCCATCAGGTAGGAAGACAATTCGAGTCTTTTCTATGTAAGTATTGCACCTCAATCCTGCTGCTGTTTCTATAGCTACTCTTTCATACTGACTATCGGTGTCTGATTAATTTAAGCAGCGCAGATATGCTAACTTGATTGAGTGAAAAATGAATAGCACCTAGAAAAAACCGATATATTACCTTTGCTTGCACCAAGGAATTTCAATGTGACCGTCTGTACAGGCAAAGCGTCGAAAGCAAGTTGAAGCAAATTCTGCGTTCTTGGCTACTCTGCATAGGTTTTCCACTTTAATATCAAAGAAAACAAATCTTTTATCGATAAAAGGAAATGAAGAGAAAGAAAAGCGTAGCGAATTTCGTGGATTTGTAATGATAATAGGACCGAGTGGAATACAATTCGGTCTGCAATTATATCAGTAATTTCCAAAACTGGACGACACGAAGTCTTCTTACCAATTAATCAAAACTAAGATACCTTTTGAGAAAGAAACTAGACATCGGTTATATTTTTTCCATAAAAAAAGACAAAAAAAAAAAACAACAACAACAGCTAACTCAGCGAAATGCGAGACAGCAGCGCGCTTATGACGCGTTCTATCCACCTACACAGGCATAGCGTATTAACTGTCTCTTTCACTGCCCTAGTACACTGTCCAATTACAAGTGCTCAAATCGGGCTGGTGATAAACAATCACGCTCAAGAATTTTGTTATAGTTATGATTAGAAGTGTAATTTTTTGGTGCTATCCATTCGTCATAAAATGATCAGTAATTGGCTTCGCTTGTATTGTCAAGATCGCTGAGAACATAATTGTTTTGTCTACGTGTATTCCTGATTGACAACCATCGAAACTGTGACATCATAGAATTACATATACGTAATGTACTAAATAACAGATTTTCAAGCAAATATTGAGGATATGGCCAACATTTCATTTGAGACTTCTCTTTTCAGCTTTCTTGTTTTGTTTTTGTTTTTGTTTTTTGTGTTGATTCTGTCTGTCTTTAATTCTTTTTCATTTCTCCTCTCATGAATCTTTATATTTTCACATTTTTTTAGAATGTCAAAATGACCAGAGTCAGACTGGGAAAGACAGAAAGGTAACCTACAGCAAACAAAACACGGTTTGCGACAACGGACCAAAGAGTTGGTATCGTTTTGAAGGAGCAGTGGGGACAAGAATGCCTACCTCATGCTCTCCAACACACCGATGCAATTCTCACTTACCTGGCTGGCTAACTGGTGCGCATCCCACACAAGCTGATGGTCAGGTCACCAGGACGGTTTTTTCCACTGGCATTCAGACTGCTGCTACAAATCAATTACCGTCAAAGTGATAAACTGCGGCGGTTATTATGTTTACCACATAAATGGCACACCCTGGTGTCACCTCCGCTTCTGGAATAGACTCAATCGATGCTGGTCGGAAAAATTGTGAATTTTGTGTAATCGTTTTAAAAATTGGTTACATCTATGTGTATTATACTTTAGTACTCTTACAGGTAGTAAACGCTCTGTGATTGGTCATGATTAGCCCCGTATTAAAATAAATAAATAAATAGATAAAACAAAACAAAGAAAAAAAGGGAAAAATAAGGAAAAGAATCAATTAGATTTGTGTTGTTGGTATTAAAAGTTTTCTCGAAGGTGAGAAAGAAAGTGATTAGGAAATTTGCAATGCCACATTATTTTTTTTTCTGCTCCTTATTCTCAGAATCTTAGTGGGGTGTAATGTATCATATTTAATTGACGGTTTGTCTAGTTATATTATTATATTATTATATTATTTGCGGATAATATAGGGAAAATTGAAAATGCTACAACCGATGTGGACCACGCTTGTTTCAAGTTGGAAGTCCTGACGGGCATAACACATACAAACAATATATATGACATTGGGCCAATTAAGAGAGTGAGGCTTCTAACTGTTTTGTTTTGTTTGTATTTCGTGTTTATTTTTGTTTAATTTGATTTCCCTTTTTTATTTTTACAAATTCACTTTAAGGTTTCCTTAATATCATAATCCAATTACAGATTGGAAAGAAAATTTTCCCTATGACGACTTTGCACTCAGTAATTAGGTGAAAGCAAAATGTGTAAGCTTCTGGCAGGTAATTACTGTTATGTAATACCTTGAGAATCTGGCCACTATTTCAAGATTATCCGAAGCCAAGAGAGATTGTTTATCCTCCCTTGTCGGCGCTTAAATTCTCAATTATTTCGCAACCATCTGTCACGTAACTAATCCACTGATATGGACAAAAAAAATGGATGAATGGTCTTCCTATTTGGCAATATCGAACACTTCTAAAATAAGCTGGAACTTCCGACATTGTTTTGTGCAGGTGCTGGCGAGATATTTTACACTAATTTCTATCCAGTGAATCCAGTGCTCAAAATTTTAGTATTGTAGAATTCGCTTCGAGTCCATAAGGATAACCGTCTTCTCTTTTTAACCAAATTTGCTTTTGTCTATTAGGGCTGTGCAAACAAGCACTGATGTTACTGAGCTATTTCTGTTTCATCACTGTTTCGGCGTTTAGCCAGCTGTTTCAAGGAGGCGATGCAGGACAATGTCGAAGCGAATACTCCTCAACCTTCCAAAGGATGTTAATTGGACACACTTTCAGGAAATTAAAGACGATCTCCCCCATTGAGTGTTGGCAGGCTTGCAAACTCGACTCGCACTGTGAAAGTGTCAATTACGTCTTTTTCCAGAACATATGTGAATTGAATAATGGAACCCGGGAAAACAGTCCCACAAATTTCATTTCTGACATTCAAAGATATTATTTGGGCCGAGGTACGTTATGAAGCTTACTTTGAAAAACCAGAATTACGGGCCTATGTGAGAGCTAAGATAAAGTTTGGCTTGAAATTGCTGGAATTTCAAGTCTACCTGCAAACTCCAAGCAAAATACTCGAGGCCCACTGCAAAGTTTGTTCTTAAGAATTCTTATTCTTAGGGATTCTCAGAAGTTCCAAGAATACTAGGAATCTGGTTCTCGTAGGGAGTGTATGAACATTTATCACTTGGCCGAAACTTTGAATTTGAGCTAAGAAAACTTTAACCAATTTACAGCACAATCAATTTTTTTTTCTTGGTTAAAATCATTTCTCAAGCAATATATCTTTGCAATCTTGGAAAACTTTTAGTTCGCTAACGCCATCAAATGGCATTCGACATTTCTACAACACGAAAAAATTAAGAGTTACTCCTCTGTTTTCATTCGATTTGATCACTATTTAGGACTTAATTAACTGCATCGTGGTAGGAGTAAATGGCCCAAAAAAGAGACATTTTATCACGGGCACCGTCATCTTCGTTACCGCTATTGTTATCACTATCGTAAACATTTTGCTATTTTGGTATTTTAAGAAGCGATGCGGTCAATAGATAAGGTACAATTGATGATTTTTATAATACCCTCTGTCTAAGCTGTTTTATTCTCAATTTTATCCGTACTATCATCATTATCATTATCATTTCTACTATTATGACTCTCCAAGACTTTGACGAGTGCAGAGCTTCTATTGGGGTGTGTAGTAATGTCAATGCCGAATGCCGGAACACTTTCGGCTCTTATCGCTGTTCCTGTAAAACTGGTTTTACTGGAAATGGAATTACATGCACAGGTAAACAATCTTAGAGACTCTATTCGTATCGCTGACTGGATTTGAATCTCATAACAGATTGTCACACTTGAGTTCTTTACATGGATACACGGCTACTCGTCGTGATTCTAAAACTACTGAACGCAATGTCATGGGGAAAACATGTAATTTAGTGTTAACAACTAAGTTGAAAATGTAAATTAGCCACCGTAAAGGGTAAAAAAGCTGACATTTCGAGCGTTAGCCCTTCGTTAGCCCTTCCAATCGCTCTGACAAAGGGATAACGCTCGCAACGTCAGCTTTTTTACCTATTACGGTGGCTAATTTACGTTTTCAACTTAGTTGTTAACACTAAATTACCTGTTATACTCTCCCACCGAAGCAGCACCACAGTTTCTTTAGAAACTTACCCACTTTATTCATTTGCCATGGGGAAAAATTGACTCATATTTACGATCTTCCTTTGAAAGTTACAAAATCTGTCACAAAAGGAAGCAAAAAAAAATTCGCCTTCCTATGAGGAAGTGAGCCCTTGTTATAATTTCCTAAAATAGTCTTAGAAAAAAGTGAATCCTGATATCTTCTTTTTTCACAGATGACGACGAATGTGACGCTTCCCCATTTTCGTGTGATACCAACGCCGTTTGTCATAACACCCCTGGCTCTTATCGTTGTGCCTGCAAAATTGGATTTTTTGGAAATGGACAAACTTGTGAACGTAAGAATGTTTGGATTGTGAGGGAGGGCTCATCTTTCCAGACAAAGAGGAAAACAGACAGAAGGAATAATTACTTGACTGACTGACTTGCCAACTGTTAAACTTATTACTTTTTAACATTTTGATGTCAATTTACATTTTTCATTGTTTTTTTTTTGTCATGTATAGTAGACGATCTAGTTTCTTTTTATCTCTGTTGCTAGCTGGATTTGGAGCCGGTGGAAGAAGAGGACGCTTTGGCAGTATACAGACGTTCACTGTTCCGCGGACCACGCGCTATCTCATCAAAGCCTGGGAGCTCGGGGAGGAACACATTCATACAATTATGGATACCTTCCAGGAACATACAATTGTGGAAAGGGAGCGTTTATAGAAGGCAAGTTCAGACTGAATAATGAAACAGTGTTAAATATTGTGGTGGGACAAAGAGGAGGGGATTCGGTGGAGGTTGAAGGCGGACAAAGTACAAGCCAGACCGCAGCTCAACTTCGAAAATCCGTGGAGGACAATGCCGGCACTGGAGGAGGGGGAGGAAGTTTTGTTTACACTACAGATAATGTTCTGTTGCTGGCTGCCAGAGGAGGAGGGGGTGCGTCGGGTGGGTATAATGGTGTGGATGGTCAGGCGTGATCAAGTGGCACCAGTAGTGAGGGGAAAGATTCGTCACAAGTTCGTAATGGAGGTACAGATGGGCGGCCAGGTGAATGCAATAGCGAGGGCGCCAGCTACCATGGAGGAGTGGGTGCAGGTTGGTTTGGTCAAGGTTGTACCCGACTAGGCTCCTCCCATGGGGAAAGAGGTGGATCACGTGCTCAAGGCTGGATCGGAGGTCAAGCCGGAAATATGAATAGCGGTAATAATGGGGGCCCTGCACCAGGAGCAGTTGGTGGGTTTGGAGGCGGGGGAGGAGGTTCAGAAGATAATGGGGCATCAGGCGGAGTTGATGGATACTCTGGGGGAGGCAGCGGTACTCATAGGCACCAAGCCGGGGGTGGAGGGGGCTCGTACTGCAGTGGTGAAGACTGTTCAGGTTTGTCTGGTGGGAACATAAAAGATGACGGTGCTGTGCAAATTAATGAATGGCTGGGCTGAGTTCAAAACTAGTTGACTACCATATTTGGTTTTCTTAAACACATTCTTTCCATAGCAGAAAACAGTAGTCATAGTAGTAATTGGAGCACTTCATCTAGCTTCCAGTCTAGTTCCTGTTTTCATGTTTGTTTCAGACTTCAAACCTAATCACCTCAAATCTTTTTATACAGAAAAGAAAAAGAAAAAGCAAAATTACGTCCCAGTTTCACACCTTTAGGCCCCTCAGGTAGCTTTTAAAAGAACTGTTTGATTGACTGATTTATACCAACTATATATAAAACCTGAGAGATTTTCCGTTAAGGTTTAAATCGATTAAAAAAGAAGAATAACCTTGCAGAGTGTATACGTGTTGTTTACTAAAACACACTGTAACATAATTTAACATATTTGCTTGTCCTTTTTAGAGACGGATTATCTCTATAACGACGAGAATGCCAAACTCTATTCGCTAATTTTGAACTTTCCACTTTGTGTTTGGTTTGTAACCTGATACGATGAAATTTATCAAAGAGGCGCTTGTTCATGACCGCCTACTTAGTAAGTCATGCAAACGTTGCGAGTGATAAAGTTTATGCAACGATTCAGGAGAAACAAGGATCTTTTCGCTTCCAATTGTTTTAAAACTTAAAACCCTTTATATAGGAGGTAAATGAAAGAAGTTTAAACGGCCAAAAACATGTCTTGGTTGATTTTCAGAATTTTGCAAATGAACTCTGACACTAGTGCATTGGAGGAAACGCATTGATTTGCGTTGTTTTCAAGATGTTGGTAGATGAAAGCTAGTGACTATATATCAGTGACCTAATTGGTGTAAAAACTTTCCACTGATATGCTTTTCCAGCCCGATTTACGCCTACATTTTAAGAATTCTTTCGTACACGTTGTTAGATTTTTGGTATGCAAATTGTGTTCGAAACTCTGATCGCGCTGTTATGGCTAAGATTTCATGTAAAGTTTGCATATTTCATTTATACTTTGACTGAATAAATCCCGCAACTTGAAGCAAGAGAGAATTCCGTGAGGTGTATTATTGCAGTCTCAGGGGTTTAGCCAAAAAAAATCAAGTTTAGCTTATAACGACACAAAAAAAGAGAATTGGAGAGTAACTTAACTATTTCAGAGACACATGTCTTAAACCATCCTTTTATGCCTAAAAAAAAGGGGAAACTTTTTTCCCGACGGGAATTCGAGAGGCACTCTCTTAGCGAGAGCAGCACTGAACCACATGGCTTCAGTGAAGCCATGTTTTCTAAAAATGCACCTTAAAGTCTCCTTGAAAACTTGGTCAAAAAAACCACAGAGTTAGCAACTTGAAATCTTAAGAAAACAGATTTGTAGGCTTTTTCTTCGTACACTTGCATTTTTACTGAGTTTAACTATTATATTTTTTTCTTTTGATGCTGCCTATAGTTATTGAAACGTATACAAGAAGGATCCCTTAGAATAGCAAGTGAAAGATGGAGATAACTGCGTGAGGAGAAACCTAACAAAATTATCTATTTTAGTACACATCATTTAATCTAATAGCGTCTCTGTGGCGGGCTGTTAGACATCTTTCATATATCAGAATGTGATTGGCTATCATGTTTCAAGGAAGTTTAGCGTTAAATTGCTGGTACATCGCAGTCAACAAACTGCTGTTAAGCTTCTCGATTTTCTCGACAGCTACAAAACATCGAAAGGATTTCTTTTCAGCTGGTTTTTTAGAACATGGTAGTTCTTCTCCACATGTTCTTCACCTCTGTGGTCCTCTCCCACGGCCAAGTTCTATCCTGCCCAGATGGTGGGTTTCAAATTTTTCATTTGTGGATAAGAAACTTTTATTTTTCTCCTTTCAAATTTTCAGCCATACAATTTACTAGATTAAAAAAGGGAACGCGAATTCTCAAGGACTGAAATACTTAAATTCTGGCATATATATGTAAGGGCTTAATTTAACAAAATGGCTACATAATTCACAGTCCAAATCAATGCGTTGTTATGTTGGATTCACTCAGAAATATTTTCGATTCTTTTTCACTACATGCGAACATATTTTGGCAAAGTATTTTAAGTTATGACTGAACAATCCTCTCACTCAATTCCGTAACTAATCATATTTTTCGCTGCTTACAGTCTCGTATTCTTTTGAAATACTCATATAAAAACAAACTAAAGTTTTATTAAGGTCATCTAAAATTAATGACAAGGTTTTCTCTATAAGGATCCTATCGTTATGAAAAGCCGTGCACTCAAGGAAAGACAAATTGATGTATTAACTGTTTAGAAATGAAATGTTTTTTATTCCCTTATTTTTACATTCTTGGGTACATAATTATTCGCTGGTTTCATATTTAGTTAACATATATATATATATATATATATATATATTTTTTTTTTTTAATTTAAGATAACTTTAGTAGTAAAGTTTTCCACCTTGAAATTATAATCCAGCCATGTGTTAAAAATAGACCAAAACGTTTGTGTTGTAGCATTTTAGAACTCTGAATTCGATGCTCATTTCCCTCTTTATAGTACTCCTGCTGTGTTTTGTATTGTGCGATATTTGAAGCGTGATGGGTAAATTAAATCATTGAAATGCAAGGAAAGCAGTTATGTTTTCAATAATGCAAACGGAGTACTGACTGCGAATAAGCGGGCATATTAAAACCTCTCTCTCAACAGGTGGCTAATTGATATGAAAGATGGAAAAACAAAACAGAACAAAACAAAATATAAATCGCAATGTAAAATTAAGCATGGTTTGTGCTTAGCGCGTGAAAATGGAATGAAATGGATGCACGAACGAAGTTTGCAGAGCATGAAAGAAATGAGTTGTTTGAGGTAAAGCAAATAGCAATTTTAGCTTCTCGAGTGTTCTCTAAACTTCCTTTGTGGATCCATAACACGATATTTACTCGCTAAGAGCACGAACCAATTATTTTATAACATAGCGGATACAACTTGTGCACGAAGATAAATTGTTAGTAGAATTGAGTCGGGTATTCACGGTAATCGCTTAATACCAGAAAACTATCGATAAAAGGCAAGGCGAAAACGATCAATAAATATTTAGAGACCAAAGCTTAATTCAAAGAAGTGCTGAATTTTCTGCTTAGAAGCGGAAAACGAACGAATTCCCTGCATTTACGACACCCGCGTGATTGATTCAGCATGCTGGAATGGTTTTTTTTTACTAGAATTCATAACCAGAATGTGTGGCTTTGTGTTTAAAATTTGAAATTCTGAAAACTGTTTGATTTCTGTAATTCAAAAAGAGTTTTGTTTTTTGTCAACTCAAACAATACTTAATGTGCTAAAGAAGAGTTTCAAAAGTCTCAGAGCCTCACTTGAAGTCAGAAAGCCCAGTTTCCTTCTTGATAGCAATAATTCTAACAGCGTTTGGGAATGAAAAAAACCGTTGACCCCAAAGGTATTTTCGTGGATTGACAGAGCTCAAGGTTTTTTTTCTTTTTTAGCAAGTATTATATAGCATATTTACTATTCATCTTGAGCTTCAAAAATTGTGTCTCAATCGAATTGGAACTAAAAATGAATCTTGAGAGTTTTGAAACCACTCGGATAGGGTAGACGGGTACCTGCTGAGTTGAATTGCAAACCTCGTGTTATGTATGCTCGGCCATGCCTATGTCGAGAAAACATGATGGCTCGTTAGGATTTAGTAGGACTTTCAACACGCGCTTTGTTATAATAACTTTGATAAAAAAATATGATTTGAAATAATGTACAAAAGTTGGAAGTTCGTGATTGAAATGTCTTACCTATATCATAACATTAAACATTAATGGCAGTTTTCTAAGGACAAATTTTTCATCGGAGTCTGGGCTCATCAATGTTACACTTCGCAACTTTTTGAGGTCATAATCCTCTTCTAACGATCTTCTAGTCTCCAAAAAACCTTATCCGATGCTACTGTTAATACAGTTTGATCTCCGGTAACTCAATGAATATGTCACAATTATAGACATACGTACCACACACATCGAACAGCGAGATTAACAACATCTGTCACCCTCAAAATTAATGACCCATTTTACTTTTTAACTCTAAATGGTTTGAATTTTTAGATCAATGCCGTATATTGGCATTTCCATCCAGTTTATTCTTCGTAGGAGAAGGTCTTGTTAACCACACTATAGCAAACATCAGTATGATTGACAGGGACATGTGTGAATATCGTTGCTACTTGGACCACAACTATGTCAGTGTTAACTTTTATTTTGGAGAAAACGGAGCAGAAGTACACAACTGTGGACTGAATAACTCAACGGGTAAAGAGTATGATAACGATCTGGTGAAAGCAGCGAACTATGTATACCACGGAACTAAGGTACCAGTTGATAAATGTCAATTGCACTACTCTCTTATAGAAATTCGTGAGTGCTACAGGGGTACTCTTTTTATTCATGTCTGGAAAACGCCAGATTATTCATTTGTTTCTGTTGAAGACTTTTTGCGCTCAAGCTTCATGCCAGAACAACGGCACATGCCAGTCGGGGTTTACAAGAAAACGATATCGATGTTTATGTGCGTCTGGATTCACCGGCCACGATTGTGAAAAAGGTGACACTTGCGTAATAGAAATGAATTTTTGAATTTATCACAGTGGTCTATTTCTTCAGAAGGTTCAAGATTCAGAATCAGTCGTACTTATGACACATACTGAATATGACCCATAGTGGGTGAAAAGAAGGATGGGAGCACAAGTCCAATTTTCATGCTCTTTTTCTCAACTTTAGTTAAGCGTCTTGTTTACGATGAACAGCAAAGAATTCAAGCCACCTTCCTTACGTTTTGGATGCCTCTTTCTTTATTTCAAAGACTATCCCGTCTCTTTGAAGTTGCTCAGACTCACCCCAGGCTAGGCATTCAGTGCCGGAAAAAGTGGGCGAAAATTTTTCCTCTCGGCAGCCCCTCATTTTATTGCTCACTTGCTTCTTCACTCGCCA